GCAGCTCCATGAACAGCCGGTGTCAGGTCTTGCTGTGTTTCGGGAAGGGGGACACGACACCGCCACCAACCCTCGAGGTGTGGAGCGAGGAAACCAGCCGATCCCACCCCGGCACGGGGGCTCATTTGTTCAGGTCAGGATTCAGCCATGTCGTGGCTATGGGGTACTCCATGTGCCTGCAAGGCTGGGAGAAACCAGGGTGACACATGGAAAGATAGCGGGGGTGGGGACACACACAGAAAAAACCCTGCCTGCTGCTCCTGCACCCCCAAACTGGTGATGTGAAAATCTCAGCTTTTGTTTAAAATTAACAAGGTCCTGGCCGGGAGGGCTGAGCGAGAAGCTGAGAAAGTGTAATCAAAGTGCACCCTTAAGGGTTTAAAAATAGAAGAGAGGGAGGAGAAAAAAAAAAAAAAAAAATCCACGTTAAAGCGCGGCAAAGCCCCGTTTGGGAGGGCGGGGGGCTGGCGTGTGCTCAATTTGGGCTCCCAGCCCCCTTCTCCATGGCCTGGGGGAATAAAATCACCTCCCCTGGAAGCACCGCAGTGATGGGGTCCCTATTTTTAGGAGAATGGCTCTCACTGCCCGGCAGGACACCCCGCCTTGCTCCAGCTCTGCCGGACGTCGCAGCTCCCTGACTCAAACCTTCACTTGCAAATTCAGGCTCTGGCTCTGGGGCTGCTGCTCCCAGCAAAACTCCCTCTGTGCTCCCACAGGTAGTGCCACAGGGAGCTGAGACGAGAAAGGTCTTGTCTCGAGGGAAATGCTGATTGTGTTTAAAACACCACTGTGATCAGCCCAGCCAGCCTTGGGGTAGACCTTCATCCTTCCTTCCATCCATCCTTCCATCCTTCCTTTCTTCCTTCCTTCCTTTCATCCTTCCATCCTTCCTTCCTTTCATCCTTCCATCTATCCTTTCTTCCTTCCAACCATCCTTCCTTCCTTTCATCCTTCCCTCCATCCTTCCTTCCTTCCTTCCATCCATCCTTCCTTCCTTTCATCCTTCCATCCATCCTTTCTTCCTTCCAACCATCCTTCCTTCCTTTCATCCTTCCATCTATCCTTTCTTCCTTCCAACCATCCTTCCTTCCTTTCATCCTTCCCTCCATCCATCCTTCCTTCCTTTCATCCTTCCATCCATCCTTTCTTCCTTCCAACCATCATTCCTTCCTTTCATCCTTCCATCCTTCCTTCCATCCTTCCATTCTTCCATCCTTCCATCCATTCTTTCATCCTTCCATCCATCCATCCATCCTTTTTTCCATCCATCCATCCATCCTTTCATCCTTCCATCCATCCTTCCTTCCTTCCATCCATCCTCCAATCATCTCAGCCACCGGCAGGACACAAAGGAAAGCCTAATATCAACCTCTACCAAGAGAAGCTCATTTTTCCAGTTCCCAACACTTACTTTGTTTCAGGCCCCCTAAACCGACCTGCACGCGCTCGTGTCAGCCACCCCCAAAGCACAGGGAGTGGAAGCAGCCTGCTGGCCCCACCACGCCGCAGCAGCGACCTTAGCTTCAAAACCTACAGAAAAACCCAGAAATTTCTCCAACAGCCCCCAGCCAGGACTTCATTTACCTTCAGCCACAGCCAGCACCCCCGACCTCACCAACTCTCACGGGCTGCCCGCGATGCCGTTGCAGGGCCATCCCGGAGGATCGCCGTGGGCTGAGAGAATGAAGAAGCCGGCCGGGCGGCAGCAGGA